CGGGGGGGCCGATGGGCACCAGGAGCTGGCGCTGGGCTGCACAGGTAAGTGGCTCCCGCGTCCCCTGTCCCAGCAGGGCTGCAAGCGCTGGGAATGCAGGGCTGCCAATGCTGGGAATGCAGGGCTGCCAGCGCTGGGAATGCAGGGCTGCCAGCGCTGGGAATGCAGGACTGCCGGGCAGAGCCCGGCGTTGCACGCTGGCCGCTCCGGATGCTTGCTGCTTTTCCAGGGATGCCCCCTGCCTTTGCTGGGCAGCTTGCATACCCCACTGGATTTACATGTGTGGGGAAGCAGATCGGACATTTTGGCCAAGGAGGGTGATGCAGGGGGTTGTTGGGTTATTCTTGTGCTGTGGGTTTTCAGGAGCCCCCTTGCCACCCCTGTCCTGCTGTCACCGCTGCTGGGAGCACCCTGGGCCGTTGCAACATTCACAGAAGCCCACTGGGTACTGCAAGTGCCCAGAGTCAGCAGGCAGAGGTGACAGTGCCCTGCAAGGCAATTCCCATGCTGGCATGAAGGTAGCCCGCATGATCTAACCATCCCGTGCTAATGAGATGGAAAAGGGAGGCAGCTCAGCGCCCGCGGCTCCAGCTGCATGTCCCCTGGGAAAGCGGGTGCTGGTGCCAGTGTCACCCAGCATGGCCCGTGGCTCCTGGGACCTGTTGTTTGGCTCTGCATTAGGGTTGTCTTGGGAGAGTTTCCTGACTGGGGTTACAAAATATTTCAGCACCAGGTTGGTAAATGAGTCACTGGCACAACCAGCCGTGACTCCCTGCCAGCAGTTTCAGTTTTATCTTTTGAAAAATCTCCCAGTTCCCTTTCTGAGCTTGGCCCAAACACAAATAAACACTGAAGTGGTGAGTGCCACAAGGACCAAATCCAGTCATCCTCGCAGCTGGGCAGGGGCCTGATGCCTGCCCGCTCAACCAGCTCTGTGGGGACCTTGTCGCAGCATCTCCCCTGCATCCCCCTGTCTCCAACTCATCGCTGCTGTTGTTGGGTTGTACGGAGCCCTCGTGGTCAGGAGCACCCTGCCACGGTGCTGACCGCCTCTCCACAACGTGTTCCCCAGGCCAAGAGTGTGACTGCTGCTGTCCCGGCTCGCCCGTGCTCCTCTCCAGGTGGGATCACCTGCAACACGCCGCAGCCAAGCGCTGGGGAAGATGGTGGCAGGAGAAGACCATGGCACCAGGTACCCGGGGAACGGAGGGACACCTCGGCCATGCGGATCCTGCCCATGGGATCCTGCCCGTCATTGCCTGGGAATAACCCATGGTGGGAGGGAAGGAGGGATATGTTAAACGCAGTTAAACCCAACCTAGGTAGGAGCCAAGGTCTCTCTTAACTCTGCCTCTGTCTCATTTCACTTCCCTCTCTCAGCTTCCCACCTCTTTAGAAGAGGACAAAATACGTAGATGAAGTCCTTTAATCGTGTTTAAATCGCCTGCTCAGAAGTGAAATGGAGAGCCTTTTCTTTTAAAGAAAAGCCCACTCATTACGTGTACAGCCTTGGGCAATTCTTTTCTACTGCTAACTATAAATAAGGTTTATAATTCTCTGCAAATCACAGTTTATTTCACTGACTAGCACAGCTGACTAAGTAAAAGGAACTTCACAGTTCCGGTGAAAAAGAGTGACTGAAACCACAGGACTTTCCAGCTCCAGATCTCTAGATACACAGGGACTTGCCTTACAAAGCCAATTTGATTGCTAACACAAAAACTACGTTTTTTAAGCTTATTATCTCTCCACAAACAATACAGTTGCGAATACACAAGCTGGATTTTTATGCCCCACAGCCATTATTAATAGAATTAACAAATAAAGTTCCACTTATAGATTATTTTCTGGCAATAGTTGATGATGCGTGAAACAGAGAGAAAGTGGCTTGGATTTCAGATCCATGCCAGCACAGGAGTGGAGAAAATCTTATTTCAATTGTCAAATTAATAAGCAAAGCATTTTACGAAGCATTATCCTTGGCTCTGCTGCACTGGAGAAGTGTTCTTACTCTGAGATCCCCTCCCCAAAATGACCCCGTTATAGAGTCACCTTGCTCCCAGATCTTATCCAGGAGGGTCTGTCCCTAGGATAAGAAGTGAATTCCTCACTTTAAGGTTACTCCAGCACTGGGAGGAAGCCAAACATGAAGGTTATCTTGTGGTTAGGGCACATTAATCCCAGGGTTGCTCCCACCATTGAGCAAGATCTTAAGGTGATACCAGATTCACACAGTCCTGCAGACAAATCTGCAATGTGACCCATGGACTTTGCTTTCAGTTGACTTGGTTAGGCAGAATGTCCCAGACCCCTGCCATAAAATGTGACAGCAGCTCTTCTGTGTCCTACCTCCCCGTTAGGTAATGCCAGAGAGCCAGAGACAAGTGATTCTGCTCCAGAGGCAGCAGACGACTTGCCAGACACCTCTTCAGTGCTGCTGGCTGTTGGGGAGGGCTTTCTGCCAGGTAAGATACGGCCTGCAGCACCACACAGTCTTCCAGGGGTTGCATGTATCAAGGACTGGTACCACAGCTGGAGACTCTTGGCATTTCTTGAGTTTCTTATCTTTATTGCTAGTGTCTGGAGAGAGAGGGTGGTATCTATTTCTGTTGTTTGAGCACTATAACCAAGTAACTGCTGGAGGCACAGGTGGGACTGAGTGCAGGGGAGGCTGTGCAATGGCAGAGGCTCTGCATGGAGCTCCTTCTCCCCTTAACTCTGCACATTTCCTTTTCAAGAGATATCACTCTTCTTCTCTGTTGAGATCAGTGCCTGAATTCCCAGCTCCAGGAAGCAGTCAGGAAGAAGCTGTGGGCTCTGGAGAATGATGACCGAGAAGTCTGTGCTCTCTTCAAGGTAGGAGCCTCAGGCCCCAGCAGATGAAAACATACTACTGGAAGGCACCTGGCCTCTATGGGATGTGTGATGGGGCACCAAACTCGGCAGAGAAAGAGTGATTCCTCCAAGGAATGTAGGTGTGTGTCCCTGGATACAGGCACTAACGGCATGGGAACAGTAGCAGAAAGAAGGGAGAGATGGATACAAAGCTGAACCTCATATCAGGAACATGACTTTGGAGGCACTGAGCTGCCTGAGGAATCATGCACATAGGGCTATAGTGAGTGCTAAATAACACGCAGCATTGCATAGGACTAGGTTCATCAAAGCTCTGCAACAGGATTAGGTCCCTGGTGGAATTGCCTGTCTCCTCCGGGAAACCAGCCTAGATGAAGAGGAGATAGGCAAAGTGTGCAGGGACAGCACTATTCCAGTTCCTTTGCCTTCCATTGACTGCACCGTAGGGAGCTGTCACTGTGGTTACTCCATCCCTCTTGGCTGACAGACTCAGCTGGTTGGACCACATTCCCTTTAAGCCCGGACAACGCGACTAGCTCGTATAGCTTTAGCTTGGAATATGCTAATAAAAGATTTCCTATTCTCATTCCAGGATCTAATATTATTACCACACTACCAGGAACTTCTGTCAGAGCCCCAGGACTTCCCCTTATTCCTGCTTTGTCCTCTTTGTTTAGGAGCTCTCAGCCAGGCTGGTCTGTGTACAAGCACAGGAGGATCGGTTCCTGCTCACCTTTAAAACCCTTGAAGAAATCTGGAAATTTTCCACATATCTGACCTTAGGTAAAGTATTCAAAACACGAAGCAGGCTGTGGAAGATAAAAAGAGACAGTGTGTGAAGAATTTGGGGAGGAGTTATGTCACACCAAAGACATGGTAATACACTCAGGTAGACAGCTTAAAGAGGTAGGAATATGAACAGAAAGACCTTGGTGACCATCTGCAGATTCATGAAGCCATTGCCTGGCTCAGTAAAAAAAGGCATGGGAGGGTGTAGTCCCTTTACTGCACCTGGTGGGAATGGGAGCAGAATTAGAGGTTGCTGCCTCACAGCGTGGTTGCAAATGGCAGATTGTGAGATATTCCAAGAGTGTTCTGACTGTTCTAGCAAAGGAGGATGTTAACACTGTTTTACCCCTTTGGTCTTTTAGGCTATGTGTCCAAGTGCTTGGAGCAGCTTCTCTTTGACCAGATATACTGGCTAAACTGTGCTCTTATGGAGGACACTGAGATCAAAGTTACTGTAAATGAAGATCGCCTGGCCACCATATATCTGGGGCTGCTACTCCAGGAAGGTGAGAAGCAGCACATGTGTAGGGACTTTCTCATAAGCATCTTAGCAGGACTGTGTTGTAGCTCCGTTATGGGCTCCATCTTGAACTGATGCAGTTGACCTAGGCATGGCTCTTTCCATCTGCAGGTAACTTTTTTTCCAGGGCAGTGCCTACTGTCTGCCAGACAGAGGAGGAACGAGAAGATGGCCTGAAGTTCTGCAGCAATGAGCTGATGCATGTGAAGAACATTGGAGATGAGTTCAAGTGGGAAGGGATGTCCTTATTGACAGGTCAACGAGGCCTGGTGCCCGTGACAGCTCTAGAGCCAGTACCTCAACCATTTTATCAGTAAGTAGATGTTCTATTACAGCTCCCAAGCCAAGATTAATTCCTTATCCTCACGCACCCCTATAACTCAAGGATGAGGAACTGCTTTTACCTCTGACAGCGAGCAAAGACTGCGTCATTTTATGCACACATACATAGTGTATACAGCCACTGGAACCAGGTCAGGTCCTGTTCAGGGCAAAGCCAAGGTCCTTTATTCTGATCTCATTCTATATGATATTAAGTCATACATGGAGTTATTTGGATTTTTTCAGATGGGTAGTTTGGAGAAAAACAATAGCCCAAGGCTTAGGTAACAGCAGACAACATGAGGCCTCATGCCGGACACTGACTAAGCCTCAGAGACACCCACAGCACATTTTTTATTCATATGGTGACATTCTTCTATGGATTGTCAAAATCATCCTGTTCTGCAAGATGCAGAATGCTCTGCAGGATGCAGAAGGCGCACTCAAGCCTGCAGTCAGGAGATGCAGCCTGCTCTCCATGCCCAGTAGCACCACTACCAGGGATTAATGGATTGGCCATGCTGGCCATGTTCTACATGAGTGCCAGTGCTCACAGGGGACACAATATTATTCCTGCTCATGTGAGGTGCTCCTTTTTGGGTGGAATGAAGACAGAGGGAAGGACTCGCTGGTATTTCTCTGGCTTCCCTTTGCCTTGCAGGTGGTTCTTGAAGAACCATGTTGTGAATTTCGGCATCTCCCAGGAGATAAGTGGGACAACTTCTCAGACAATTGGTGAGTGACATCTGTGTAACATGGTCAAGGACACAGCTTTTGCAATCTGGGTTCAGCCACAAATGCAAAAGGCGCAGCTACTGTTCTGGCAATGAAACATCATTGCGAAGTGCTTGTGGGAAAACTGTATCTTTGGCCTTTCTATAATGGGGAATATATCCTGGGAATTGCATGTATTTGGAGGACTGATCTGAAGAGCCTCGTTTATGGGACAAAGAAGTAGACATCTCAAGCTAAACTCGTGGTCTCTCCTTGCCTATTTTGTTTTTCTAGCAAGGAAGCTTGAAGAGCAGCCTCACACACTAAATGCAGTTGTTGTCTTTGTTTCTCAGTTAAAGGCAGCTGCACAGCCAAAGAGGACCACCGAGGAGAAACCTGGAATGAACTGAGTTTCTCCAAAGGAGACAGCATAGAAGTCATTGGCTTCCTTATTCCAGGACTGCCGTGGTTTGTGGGAAAATCCCAGAGCAATGGGAATATTGGCTTTGTCCCAACCACATGCATAAATCCTGAGGCCTGTGAACCTCTGTAAGTTTACTGTTACTTTCTAGATGAATTTACAGTTAGGAGGAGGGTAAGGGTGGACTCTGAGTCCCAACTCAAGTGTATGTATTCAGGGCAGGTTATCTGACTTGCAAGAGCTTCACAGAGAATCTATTTGATGTTTGCCAAGAAGCCCAGGCCAGGCTCTTCTGCCAACAGGTTGCAGGAATCTCTGCCCAGAGCGAGCTATCAATTATTATTGGAGACAATTCACTTGTCTCCAGTAATTCTTAGATAGGAACAAATCTGGCCATGGGCTAGACCTCACTTTAGGTGAAGATAGCCCAATGCAGCTATGCCACTGTTTCAGCTAAAAATGTTCTTGACTTTGTCATAGGGGAAAGGGCTTGGAATTTCTGAGCGAAGAAGAGAAAGTCTCCCTGCTGCGCGTCCCCTGCAATGGCAACGAGCAGCACTTCACCACCCTGCTCAGTGACCTGGCATGCACGGACATCACCTCCCTGTACCGGCTCGGTGAGTCCTCCCCTCTCTGAGGTGCCCAGCCCCAACTGTGTCCTTGGAGAACAGCTTTGGGCCATGCCTAGAGAGCTCCTTGCTCCAAGCTGCTTGGGTGAGAGAACTGTGCCTGGAAGAGTTCCCTGCTCAGCCTGGTCGTGGAGGCTGTAGATACCCTTAGGAGCTGGGCTCTGCTGCAGTGCAGTTTAATTTAGTCTCTACTTCTAGGGTTGTGGTTCACCCTTGCTGCTCTGGACTAATGCTGGCTATAGGTGCTCGCTGTTGACCACCTTAAAGTAAGAGATGATCCTGCTGAGGTCCTCAGAGAGACTGGAGGGTTAGGAAAGGCTTTGGGAATAGGATGAAATATGCGGCATGAAGAATTCAAACTCTTTTTTGTCCAGTAGTAAAAAACCAAAAAGCCTATCTGGCTTCTCCCGACAGGTCCGTGCAAAGCCTGGTCTCCTACCATTGCCTGACCTTTAGGTGTATATTGAAGAGCATTGCACAGCTAAAGTGATCATGATATCATGACATGGTCTCTGTACCCAGAGCAGGAGCCAAGAGACCAGGGTTCCTGGGTGCAGTTCTCTGTTTTGCCGTATTTATGGCATGGCTTTTGGACTACAGCTAATTAGTCTGCCTCAGTTTTCCGCCTTCTTACTGCCTAGAAGAGCAATGTGGTCCCAAATTCCCAAGGGCTTCCCCCTTGGGAAGCCATGGGGTTCAGTCACCTTGCAGAACAGACCATTCAGCATCCAGATGCTCCAGTGAAGGTGCAATAAGCCTGAGGGTAGAGCCTGTCACAAATATGTGTATATCTGAAACCTTTGAACAGGCACAACAAAGCTCTAAAGTGAGACAGAGCTGATAAAACACCACCCATGAGAAATAAGACCCGCTTGTTCCTGGGCAATTGTAATGTTGCTAGTGCTCACCCCATGATCACCCGACAGCCTTTTGCCATGTTCTTACCTCCGAAGGAGGAGTATGTGTTGCTTGTGCTGTTCAGGGCCAAAAGTGAACCTGTGCTTCCAAATACTGGTTCTGGGGTTAGCAGAGCAGCAGCAGATCTCTGTAAGGTTTAAATGCAGTGTCTGCATGCTAACATTGACCAAGGCTTTAGGCTTCTTGTTTTTTGTTTGTCTCCTTGTCTGTGTAGATGGTTTTGAACCCACAGCCACATTCCCAAAAGTACCACCAGGTGAGTATGTGGAGGGGGCAAAATAGGGTGTTTTTATGATGACTTCAAAGAGTGAATTTTGACATAGAGAAACATCCCACTGTGATCTGCCTGTCCCTTGCAGAGGCTGTTCTCCAGAGCTATAAGGATATTCAGCTGCTCCAGTCTTGGGAGGAAATAAACAGCTTTACAACACCTAGCACCTCCGAGAAGTCTAGCCCAGGGAATGAATCAGCTCCTACTACGCTGGAAGATATCTTCCTGGAGAAGTCAAATGACTTTGATGATCCCAAGTTCTTCATTGACCTGAATGTTGGACACATGGAGGATGCTGATGTCTTTGATCCTATATTGACCTTCCTTAACCAAAGCAGTTATGTGCCCAATTTTCAAAGCCTCTACGATCTCAGTTTTTCCTTTCTCAGCTCCACTTTTTATGGTTTTTCTGATGAAGATGAACTGGTTTTGTACCTTGAGACCTGCAGGAACTGGGCCAAGAGGACTCATTCAGCCTGGGCTCATATTCGACTCTGTTTCCTCTTGGGTAAGCTCTGCATCAAAAAGGTCAAGTTCTCTCAGGCTCGAGTCTACTTTGAGGAAGCTATGAGCATCCTGGACATGGGTTTTGGGGATCTGCCCCTGATGGCTGCATTGCATGTGAACCTTGCCTCCATCTACTTGAAACAAAACATGAAGAACAAGTTCTCCTCTTTGCTGACCCGTGCCTGGGCCAGAGAGCACAGACACCAATATGAGGATGCTGCAAATGGCGTTTAATATACGCAGGTTGGACCTTATAAAGGTAGCAAAGGCGGAAGCATGCCTATATAGCCAATAAGCGTTGCTCTTTACCTAATATGGCATATGCCTTAGTTCCCTATTCTTCCCGTACATCGCGAGATCTTCCGAGCGCCGTACCCTACAAGGCACTGAATTTCTCCCGTGACAACAGAGCTGTGCCCACCCAGAGGACTCTGTGTGCCATCTTGTCCCGAATGTATCTCCAGCATGATGTGTTGGATGGGGCAGTTTGTTACGCAGCCACGGCTGTAGCTCTTAGTAGGATGATGAGTGAGGAGGAGGCTTTTGAGTCTTCTCTCTATTTGGGGTGGATGTATCTCTTGGACAGCCAGCCGGGCCCAGCTGCAGAGATCATGTGGCAGCTCCTACACTCACTGCATGGGACGGACAGTGTGACTCAAGGTGGAGCCGTTCACAACCTGCTGGCCATTGCCCTCAAGGGAGAAGGGCAGGTGCAAAAAGCTGCAGAGAATTACCTCCGGGCCCTATATAAAGCCAAAGAGACTGGGAACAAGAGGAACCAGGCTATCACCTTGGCTAACTTGGGGCAGTTGAGCCTTTCACATGGGGCAAAGCAGTTGTCTGAGATCTACCTGCTCCAGTCTGCTGAGCTCTATGCTGAGCTCCAGGGCACTGAAGACCTGGAGATGGAGTTGGGCCGGGTGCTGCTTTGGCTGGCACAGGCCATGATAAACAGGCAGAGGATAGAAGATGGTAAACTCTGTTATGAACTGGCACTGCTCTTTGCCCTGAAGTGGCATAATGTGAGGAGTGAGTAGAGCTTTGCTGGTGGGAATCAGGGCAGTGCCCACCTCTGTCCCTAACACAGCTGTTGATCTGTCCTTTTCCCTTCTCTGTACCATGCAGGTCAGCTTCACATCACTGAGTCTCTCTGTCATTTCTACAGCAAAGTATCCCCCAATCTCCAGGCCTGTATTACCTACCATGAGCACTGCGTATCTCTGGCACAACAGCTCCGGGACAGAGAGATGGAAGGCAATATCCAGCAAGCCCTCAGCCAGCTCTACCAGGCTCTGGACACATCCAAGTAAGTCCAGCTCACGGCTTTTTTTCCAGTCTAGATGTTCTTAAAGGGGTATCTCTGCTCACCCGAAGCAAGAACAGTGGCTTTTCCAAGGTGTTTGCAGCAGGGGAATCTACTGAGAAGGTATGGAAGGTATGGAAGGTGTGAAGTAGCCCTAGCTGTGCCTCTTACATGCTGCTGAAGTTAGTGAAATGCTGAGAATGGCCAGGTGTCCCCGTGCAGTGAAGAGGGGAATGGTTTAATCTCAGATAGAGCTCTGGGATAGCTTGGAAAACACTGAGTTATGAGCTGGGATATGACTTGGGTTTTCCCAAACTGTTTTCCAAAAAGTCATTCTGTCTTGATCTGAGACGACACAAAGACTGAGAATTCATCAATTCCTTTGATGGCTTATTCCAATGATTAATCATGCTCAGTAGCAAAAATAGATTCCTTATCTTTTATTTGAATAAGTCTGGCTTCAGCTTCCAACCATTGAGTCTGTCCTTCCTAGCTCTGATGGAAAATTTTCCCCAAGGATGTATTTAAAACCCCATATCAACTCACCTTTCAATCTCCATTTTGACATGTGCAGGTGACTGATTAGATTAGGTAGAAGGGGAGTGAAAGAGACGTGGGTAGACACCAGAGTCTCTGTGTTTTTTAAAGGCAAGTGTGTCAAATAGTGGAGAGTTAGTTCCCATGTCCCCAGAAGGACGAATGGGCAGGGGTTGTCATTATTTCGGATGTTAGGTCAGAGGGAAGGAATTTAGGAAGCAGACGCCTGTCATGTGAACAGTGCTATTTAAGACCACAAAGCATCACACTGAATTCAAAGGACAGCTGGAGCCTGGTTGCCAGCAGGCAAGACACCATGCAAACAAACACACCTTGGGCACTGCCCATCCTTCCCTTCATCACAGTTGCCTTCTGGAGACAGTGTCCAGTCTGGTAACTCTGTCCTGCTGCTCGTCCCTTTGACCTGTGGTGACCAGTGGCTTGCAAAGGGGGTACAGGACCATGCACATTTGGCTGCAGACCTGTCCCTTGGGCTGCACCAAGGTAAAAGCAGTAGGCAGAGATGTCACTCTGGATACCAGATGCTGACCAGAAGACGAAGGTACGCAGCACTCCTGGGCATTGGTGGGACTTCTGGGCTTAGTGCAGGGGAGGCAAATAAGTTTTGCAGGTGCCCCAGACAAAACCCTCCTCTTATCATCTGAAATGAGCAGAGCTGGTGAGCAACCTCTTTGGGAACAGGCTCCCACAGGGCTGAGGTGAGCACTAGGGGATGGGCAGCCATCCCAGGCTGGCCTAAGATTGCCAAATGATACACACGCATGCACTAAAGCATGGGGAATTTTACCATCTTACCGCTGATAAGAGCTGTGTCTGTCCATTTGCAACCCAATGGCAACCGTGGGAAGAGAAGATGGGATTGCCAAAGCAAAAGGAGGTGTTGGGATAGGTTTGCAGTTGTGATTTCTCTGTAATGCTTTTTTGCCTGTTACCATCACAGAGCTTTGAAACAGTCCCTGGACTGCACCAAGCAGAGTCTAAGGATCTTCATTGACCTTGGGGAAACAGTCAAAGCAGCAGAGGCCTGGTTGCAGGCAGGCAGGCTCTACTATCTCCTGCAGGAAGATGAGTTGGTGGAAATGTACTTTCAGGTATGAAGGAGGTGGCTGGCCTGGTCCCCATACTTGTCATGGCTAGCTGCATTACCAATGCAGAGTTGTGGGTTGGTAGGAAACATTTTGGAATGGGAATATTGGAAAGGAAAGCAAATACGCTCAGAAACAGTGGAAACTTACTACTGTGAGGAAGAGCATGCATTTTCTGACTGCAAAATGATACCAGTGCCATTGGAATGAAAATACCTGTTCTTCACAGAAGTTAATGTACCTGCCCTCAGTCCTGCCAGCCATTTCTCTCTCTAGGCTCTCTGTTCTCCTTGTTGATGTTCATGCTGGCTCCATCACACCATATTGAAAGCCCAGGGCTGGGGCAGGTGCTGGCTACATTGTCCCACTTCAAATCTGGATGTCTCTGGGTATTCCAGCTGATCAGTCCAGCACACTGACCCAGCACAGAGACGTGTTGTTGTTCTCTGGCTCCTGACTCCATCCTTGCACTCAGCACTTGCAAATGCATCACGACCATCCCACATACCTGCTCGACAACATGTATGCATGCTGTTTGGAGCACTGAGATTCACATCTATGATTTAGTTCTGTTTTGAGACAAACCTTCTTCCAAACCTCACTACAGTTTCTTTTCCTTCCAGGCAGCTATTCAGACTGCTGTGAAATCTGGGGACTTCTGCTTGGCCATGGACCTTTATGAAAAAGCAGGCGATACCTTTTTTAATGGTAGCCGAAACAGAGATCGAGCAGTGGAGTATTATAGGGTATGGACCCCTCTGAGCATTTCTGTTCTTGTGTTCCTGCTAGGGGACAGCCATGGAGGGCTGGCTGCAAAACCACATGGCAAGGTTGAAAGGATGAGGGTGGAGAGAGGTGGGGTAATTCTGAGTGTGCCAGAGCAGGAGCATTGCTGTGTATGGGGCAATGGGGAGGCCTGGAGCACGGGCACATTTTGCAATAGCTTCAGGTCTCCCCAAGGTTCATTTGAGAGCAGTGGGAGGGTTTCCAAGCAAGACTGCCCTTGTGCTCTCCTATACAGCCTCTGACCAGAGTCTGAGGATTTGAGCATCGGTTAGTGAGTAAGGTGTGAGCTGAAGGAATTAGCTATGGCCCAAGAAACCAGGCAAAAATAAGTGCACCCTATGTCTGGCCTCCTGGTTGATGGACAGAGGAGACCACAGGACAGGAGGCTGAGCAAGGAACTGCTGATAGGAAATCATAGAATCATAGAATGCTTAGGGTTGGAAGGGACCTCTAGAGGTCATCTAGTCCAACCCCCCTGCACACGCAGGGTCACCTAGAGCACGTGGCACAGGACTGCGTCCAAGGGGGTTTGAAGATCTCCAGAGAAGGGGACTCCACAACCTCCCTGGGCAGCCTGTTCCAGTGCTCTGTCACCCTCACTGTTGAGAAATTTTTCCTTAAGTTCCTGTGGAACTTTTGGTGCTTCAGTTTGTGGCCGTTTCCTCTAGTTCTGTCGGTGGCCACCAGTGCAAAGAGGCCGCCCCATCCTCCTCACTGCCTCCCTTGAGGTACTTCTAGACACTGCTCAGGTCCCCTCTCAGCCTTCTCTTCTCCAGGCTGAACAGGCCCAGCTCCCTCAGCCTCTCCTCATAGGGCAGATGTTCCAGGCCCCTGATCATGAATGTGTCTTTAAAACTTCTGCATATCTCTAGAGACTAGCATCTAGCTAAGGTCTTCAGGGAGGTGCCTGCCAGGTTTGGGGGAATAACGTTTTTTCCTTCCAGTGTAAACCCTCAGCTGGGACAGGCAGGCAGCAGGGAGCACCATTTCCACACAGCCTGGCCCCAGCTATGGTCTAAGCAGGCCTAAGGGCAGCGGCCTTGCAGCATAAAACCTGGCAGCTTCAGATATGAGCTGGTTGCTCCTGAGGACGTTTTCAGAGTCAGGATATCAGGCACCTAAGGAAGAGCAGAGAAGAGAGGTCCTGAGGACCACACTGTGAGATGTGAAACTATTTTAAGGGGAAGGAGAGGCTAGAATTAGGACATCCAGCACACTTTTCAAGCTCTAGGTCCATCTCTTTCAGTTCAATCACCTCTCCAAGGCAAGTGCAGTACTGATACCTCTAGGAATTGTGTGAACTCACTGTTTTCTCTCTTCAGGGAGGTGCTGTGCCCTTGGCCAGAAAACTGAAGGCCATTAAGACAGAGCTACGGCTGTTCAATAAGCTAGCAGAGCTGCAGATTGGGCTGCAGGGCTACGAGAAGGCACTGGAGTTTGCCACGCTGGCAGCCAGGCTGAGCACCAGGGTGGGTGAGTGATGCAAACTCGTGGGGTACGGGCAGTTCCTGGGGAAGGGGCTGCCTTTCCGAATGAGAACAGCATGCATGTGAAAGGAAGATATTCCTACTTTCATAAGATCTCCGGACCTATTCTTATCCTAAAGAGTAATATCTTTTTAAAGCCACTTCCCTTTTTAAGCCTCATGATATCCACAGAGAAGCGCTCTGCTGCGGTGTGGAGGGACTGGTCTGAGCGGATGGGATTGGGCTGAGCAAAGGGTTGTTGCTACACCAGAGCAAAGGAAGTATGAGAAGGCACAGAACACAACTGTTCCTCTCTTCATTCGTTCTTCTGATAAACTCATGCCTTCCTACTATGGGAATAGTTAGACCACACAATAGAACAGGCAAAGTGTCAGAGATGGAGCTAGTCTTCTAATGGTCTTTCCAGCACTGAAGAAATGCTCTGGTCAAATGATACTCCCTGGCCAATCTGTCCTACCTTGATATCAGCAACCCTATCCATGGCTCTGTCTTCTCTGGGCTGTCTCTAAGCTTGCTGACTCCTAAAGACGTCTGCACACCCGGACTGTTGAACAAATGCATCCCCAAATGGCTCAGAGTGCAGGGCTGGCAATGACTTAGGAACATGCTGCAGGATGACTCTATCAGCAACTCTTTTTCCAGGAGATCAACTGCAAGAGCGGGTCGCCTTCCATCGCTTGGCTACAGTCTACTATTTTCTGCAGATGTATGAGATGGCTGAAGATTGCTACCTGAAGACCCTTGCCTTGCATTCTCCCTTGCTGCAGTGTGCTGGAGAAGCCCTCTACTACTCCAAGGTCTACTGCCACCTTGGCAACCTGACCCTGCACAAACTGAAGGTAGGAAACCTCTTTCCATGGTGCTGTGTTGAACATACTGGTCTTGACAGAGAGATGAAGGTGGAATATTATATTTGCTGACAGAGCGGCCTCCCATGTAGATGGCTGCATCCTGTGACCCTTTGACCTTCAGCAGCTTTAAAATAAATAAAATAAACTATGCTGGCACATCAGGTTTTGAGAGGGGGGAAGGCAGTTTGGAAAGAAGGGCTGGCATTTATCTATGACAATAAAGAGCCCGTTTCTATTAAGCCAAGTGTCACAGGGTTCTGCCTGGAACCACTGGGCTCTGCTCCAGATCGTTCGCACTGTGTGACCTTCATTTAAACCATTTCCTAATGCTTGTCCCTGTCCCTTATGGTTAGGATGAACAGGATGCAGCAGGCTACTTCCTCTTGGCCCTTGCAGCAGCAACCGAAGTGGGAGACCAGGAGCTGCAAGGCAATATACATGCCAAGCTGGGTCGCATCTACAGTGCTCCTCTCTGCCACGTGGACACACCGGGATGTACCATGTATCGGGCCAGGTGGCTGAGCGAAGGAGGACACGTCGTCTGACCGGCATCCAAGGTGGACTTGAGTGTAGCCAGTAAAGGCAACTTTCTGCCTCGTTGCTGGCACAGGTCCATGTACTTTCCAGAACAAATGGCCTGCAGAAGGTCCTGTGCAGCATCCTGAGAAGGCTGGCAGTGTTTTATCTTCTCCTCTCTGACAGATGTGGGACCAAGAGCTTGGCACGCTGTCCTCCTAGCTTCCTGCAAGCCAGCCTTGTGACTCGAGATTTCCATCCATGGCAGCAACCTGCACAGGGAGGACAATGTGGGATATTACCATGGAGCAGGGCAGGAGGGGGACTCCGTTGCCTGCCTGGACCAGGATTCTGGAGCACAGGCTTGGTGGAGTGGAGCTGAGCACTAGATGGCACTGCAGGAATGTGGCTGCCTGCCTGGGACAGCGGGACAGAGACAAGTGCCACCCTGTGCCAGTGTCTTGTCCTGCCTATACCCCCTGCCTCCTGGGGCAATGGGGCAGCACAGCCCACAGGGGAACACCTCCAACCAGAATGTATTTTAATTTAAATAGCTTTTTTTATTTATTTATATTTTTTTCTGTCCTTTCTGCCTGGAGAAGGCCTGCGACCCCACACTTCTGCAGAACCACTAGCCTTTTCCAAGTGCTTCTTTATAAAAAGCACCACCAAAACTCCTGCCAGTGAGAGGCAGAAGAAGGAAAGTGAGGAAACGTGAGCATGGCCAGACAAGTCTTGCCTGGGTATCAGCTCCTCTATGCAGGTGGTAGACCATGCAGCAGGGAAGGACAACTCGCCATCAGCAAAGGTGGGGACAGAATAGGGTGAGGTTGGGTCCCCACCAGCAGCAGGCCGTTAGAACACGTAAGAGACCATCCGTGTTGCCAGATATCTTGTCCCTGAATATCTGGATGCACGGGGAAGAGTGAAAACAAGCCAAGAATAATAATAAAAAAAAATGGTTTTGAGGTTGGGTCCCCACCAGCAGCAGGCCATTAGAACACGTAAGAGACCATCCATGTTGCCAGATAGCTTGTCCCTGAATATCTGGATGCACAGGGAAGAGTGAAAAAAGCCAATAATAATAATAATAAAAATCTGGTTGCCTCTTTATGGAGAATGTTTTCTGAGTTTAGTAGTACTCTCTGCATTTCCACTGTGCAAGTGTGGGCAGGCTCTCCATGTGACCTTCCAGCTCCCATGGTGTGAGCACTCCATGGTGCCTATACAGGAAAAGAGGATGAGCATTTTCTGAGGTCCCCCTTTTTCTGTCACATCCCTCCCAAGCCATCTCTTCTCCCAGCTGCACGGTGCAATATGGTCTTCTGCAGCCAGGAGGCTGGAGGAGCGCTGAGGAAGCTGCTGCTTGCTTACCAAATCATCTGCAGTCATTCTCACCACCAGAGAGCAATAAACACCAATAGTTGCAGCTTCACACGGGCTATTCCCATTTCCTTTTAGTAACAACCCTCAGTTTTCAGTCTGGACTCGTGCAGAGTGAGGAACAGGCTCATGTGTAGCAGACTTTTTGCTTGGAGAGTCAGAGAGCTTGACGCCCAGATGGGTCCTCACAGAGAAACCCTGCAAGTCCTTTCATCTCATGTATATGGTCCTTTGTTTGTAAATGTTAAACACAGGACAAGTATTTCCTCAATTCTCTTTTGGAAATGCTGAGTCCATCTCGCTCTCCCAGTCCTTACGAGACATCTGTCATGTGGGCAAAGTGCTATTTACTGCTTGCTTACCAAGCAAACCTGCAGTGCTGCTAGAGGGACCGCAGCTCTATGGACGTAAATCTCTGTCCTGTTTGAAACATAGCAAACTCTCATGAGAGACTATCCAAGAAAATCCTCTGCCTTGGAGTCAGGAAAATTCAGTTTTCTCTTTCTCATGTAATGCATCTGAGAAGGAAGGCAGCCTTGGCCAGTTGAATATCTAATGAAATAAGACTCGGAAATGGTGCTATCACCCAGCTTCCCAACCAAAGAGCAGACCCTTCTCCCCCCGCAGCTGGTGTTCACCTCCATGGAGTCACAGGGACCGCAGGAGCTCAGGGCAGCATCGCTCATCGGGCAGAGATTTCCTTCCAGTTTTCTCCTGATCTGAGGCCTGAAGTTACCCTAAGGCTGCTGCCCAGTTCCCAGAAGAACGTGCTTGGCCTTCTAAAATTGTGTGGGTATTTTAGGTGTTTATAGTGATTGATATTGCACTGCTGTCCAGGCTCTGCAGCTTGGGGTCTGGCTGTGTGTGGCCATGCCCATATCTTGAGGCAGAGTCCCCAGATCCACACTGGTGGCCACTGGCTTTTGTCAAAATTAAGCCCAGTGGATGATGAATCATGCTGAGAACTTTCCCACTAAAATATCCCTTCCAGAGCCAAAATCCAAGACATTTTTGCCTAACACCAATGAAAAAAATGGGCTTTGTTTAAACATAGAGGGTCAGCGTCTCAGCTGGACTAAATCAGCTAAGCTCCATGAAGTCAAACAGAGATGTTCTGATTTGCAGGGATTGTAGATCCAGCTCATGCTTTTAACTGAAAGTGTCCTCTTTAAATCACAGCAAACAACTTGTGGTGCCTGGGGAAAAAAAAAAAAAAAAAGAGACTCACTTCTTGGGAACATCCCATATAATACAATTTCCCTTCTGTCTCATCTACTCCCTCCCTCCAACATGCTCTGACAGTGCTGGGCTGTTTTCCGAGGGAGATGAGAGATCAGGGTGGCCAGGGATAGTTAAACATCATAACGTTACTTGGAAATAAAGTGAAACTTGGAGTGGACAGTCATGTCCAGCAGCTTCTGGGCCTTTGCCCAAAGGAGTGTGAGGATGCATGATTCCTTCAGCCATTGACACAGCTCCATGAGCACAGACAGCCTCTGGGGAAGGTGAAGGTCACCATCAAGAGGACAGGAGATAGGGCATGTCCAGTGGCAGCCAGGTGCCCTTCGCTTTGATTCACTTCAGGAATATCTCCTTGCACAGTTGGTCAAAGTCAGTGGGCACCTGGGCTTCCACATCTCAGCCTCCTTGCAGCAGTGGTTTCCTCCCCGATGTCAGAGCCACCTCATGCAAACTTACACTACACTAGGCATTGGTCACTAGTGCCCAGCTCTTGCTCACCAGCACTAACTCCAGTCCAAACAGAATGAAAAAGAAGAAAGGATAAGGATGGATC